CTTTTCATATCCGAGTCCTTGAAGTCCATTCTGATGGAGCTGGCCATGTCTACAGTCCTATCTGGATTCTCTGGCCCAGTGGATGGAGGAGGGCTGGAGTATGCTGCTATTAACTGAGTGCATGACACAAATGACATGTTTTGAAAGCATAATAAGCATGACAAACAGCAGAATACTTCTCTAACATGTCATAGCAGCATTACAGGGTATGTTGATTTGGTGATTTCCAGGAGTTTCTGCTTTGCCCTCCGTTCTGCATCTTTAGCCTCATTCAGATCCTGTTTCAGGTGGTCTGCCTCCTTCAATCTGAACCACAAAATACAAGACAAGAATTGACCTTCTCAAATTAAATGTCTCTGTAATACTTGATTCTGGTTGGACAATCACAGCACTGAGTGTCAAGTATTTTAATATAATTACAGCATGTTTGTGTGTGTGTAACATTTTAATGAAGAAAAACTATTTTTGCTGCTTAATATTTTTTGTGGAAACCATGATCATTTTTTTCAGGACTCCTTGATGAATAGAAAGTTAATTGAACGACATTTATCTGAAATATTATGTTTTTGTAGCATTCTAAAAATCTGTACTGTCACTTCTGATCAATTAAATGCTTCCTTGCTGAATACAAGGTTTAAATTATAATTTTTTATTGTTCATACCCCAAACATTTGAATGGCAAAAAATTTCAACTTTGATTAAAAAACATTATTGAGCACAAAATGCTTATTAGCATATCAATGATTTCTGAAGTATCATGTGACGCTAAAGACTGGAGTAATGGCTGCTGAAAATTCAGCTGTTATCACAGAAATAAATTACATTTCAAAATACATGAAAATAGAAAACAGTTATTTCAAAATATTACTGTTTTTACTATATTTTTGATCAAATAATTGCAGCCTTGGAGAGCAGAAGAGAATTTTTTTCAAAAACATTTAAAAAACTTAATATTCCAAGTTTTGGCCAGTGTATATTAATATTCAAATATTTAACTAAGAAGTGTGTTCATTAACATGATCATTTTACTGTGAAATTAGTACCCAGAATTTTCACTGGTACTGATATCAACTACTGACAACCCTACTGGCCCACCTCCTCTCCGACTGCTCAACAAGCTTAACTGCCAGTTGTTCTGCTTCTCTCATCTTCTGCTCCATCAGTCTCTTCTCCTCTTTGGTTTTGAGGGCTGTGACCTCCAGCCTCTGCCTCTCATGTTCTGCTTCAGCTGCTTTGTGGGCCAGCAGTTTGGCCTCCTCCTCTGCGATCTGGGCTTTCTCTGCCAGAAGGTCGGCCGTCTCCTCGGAGCGCAGCTGCAGAAAGGGAGACAGATAAAGAAAGGCTTACCGGATCAGGCTCAGGGAGTCTCAGAGCATGGATGGAATTCTAATGGGAGTCCAGGACAATGGTTTGGACCTTAATAGCTCTGCAGTTCATCCCAAATTTACGTCTGGACCACATACTTTTATACCGCTGGGGCTATGAGGACATATATTACAAGCTGGCGGGGAAAAGAAAGTCAACTATTTGGCATCCCTCAATTTCAAGCTTGGCAAAACCCTCACTAGAGCTTCATTGGCCATTCGAGCCTCGTCCTGTAGCTGGAACAGACGATGCTCCATCTCTTCTTTCGCTCGCTCCGCTTCCTCTCTCATCTGCTTCTCCCGTGCAAGAATCTGACGCTCAACCTAAACACACACACACACAAGACAATGGGAGAGATCTTGCACAAGATGACACTAAATACATTTTAAAAAATCTGATTAATTCATGTACATGTTCAAAGGCATTGCTTATGGTCTCCAAAACTACATTTATTTGATCAATAATACAGTAAAAAAGTTAATTGTAATAATAGTTCACAATATTAAAAAAACTGTTTCCATTTGAAAATTTTATTTATTTGATGGCAAAGGTGAATTTTCAACAGCCATTAATCCAATATTCAGTGTCAAATGATCCTTTACAAATCATTCTAATATGCCGATTTGATGCTCAAGAAACATTTCTTACTACTTTTATCAATGTTGAAAACAGCTGTGCTGCCTAATATTAGTTTGGAAACAGTTTATGTTTTCTTTGATGAATAGAAAATTTAAAAGAACCGCATTAATTGAAAGAGAAATATTTAAAACATTATAATTGTCTTCTCGGTCACTTTTGATCAATTGAAAGCGTCCTTGCTGAATGAAAATGTTAACTTAAATTATATTAAATTTATAATAGAATTTAAATAAAAATTTTCTATTATTAAAAATGTACTGTCCCCAAACTTTTTAACGATAGTGTACTTTATTCTATTATAGTGTACCATATTCTATACTGAAGATAAACCTTTAAGTTAGTGTATAATGCCTCAGTGTTATTATAATGTTTATAGGTGTATTGTTCATTATATTTAATGAATACTCAATTACCATAATAAACATTAAATGAATAATTCAAGAGAACTGAAGAGAACAAATCAGAAATGTAACACCACAAAGGTTAATGACAATAAACATTAAACTAATGAATGGAAGTGAAAAAAGACAGACCTTTTTCCTGGCCTTCTCCTCTTTGGCCTGAGCCTTCATCTGTTGGACCTCTATGGAATCCACCTTCCTCCTCCTCATGAACAGGTCATGGTTTCCAATACACAGCTGTAGGATCTAATTTATACAAATGACATTAGCAACTAGTTTGAAACACTTTATTACAGAAACACCTATGAAAGTAACTTACCAGTTTGTTAACTCTGAGCTGAGAGGAGTAGAATTTAAAAACTTCCTTTTTCTTGTCCAATGGTTTGATAGTAAACTGAGAAGACACACCAATTCTGTATTATTAATTAATAATTAGGCTATAATAACCAATATTGTCATTTAATGTTTGCCGTTTTATTGTAAGGTGTCCTTGAGTGTCATGTAAGGCACCTATAAATAAAATGTAAATGAAAAATAATATTTTTGGTCAAGAATTTCCTCTCTCAACCTCTTTCTCGCTGTACGAGATGTTTCGGATTCCACTCCAGGGGAAGGATTTGTTGGGGCTGAGCTTGTTGTTGGGGCTGTAGATATGAAGACCCTGAGCATCAACTCCAAGAAGCAGCTCTGTGTCCCTCTTATTTTGCTGTGAGATTTAGTAGACATTTAATTCATCATTTATAATTCATCAACTATAATTTGGCGGTAACTACACACAAGATACATTAAAAATATACCAAGAGAAATGCAATCATTCCAACTGATCTCAATTTTGAATACCAATAAACACAGTGGGATCCAAAAGTCAAGACAACCAAATGCTTTTATTTTGCATTTTTCTAATTTAATAATTTTTTAAAAAATAAATACATAAATGTTTTTAATTAATTACTTTTTTTTAATTTTCAAAATAACAAATGAAGTGTGGACCGCAGTGTAAATTGAGTTTGGCAGAGGTTAGCTTTCTCCCAAAAAATAAAGAAAATATTACAATAAAGAAATATTTTAAGAAATAAGAACAGAGACTTACTGTAATAGAAAAGTAACTAACTCCATACATCTCTAGATCCTGTGCTATTTTTAGATACTCCATCTCAGCCTCGTCCCTACAAACACAAAACAAATGTAGTCTGTCTTTTATATCCAGGCAATTTACATGGACACCACAGGATATGCACAGTCTTACCTTGTGATATTTCTGTGTTCAGCATACCAAGCTGTTATCTTCTCTTCCCACATGTCTGGTGTCATCTGGTACTGCATCAGCACCTGCACAATAAAGCACAGAAATCAAACACACAAGTCATGTTGATGAATGCAAATGCTGGAGATTGATAAATGAACCCATTCTCACTCACTCTTTTGGGCAAGAGTTCATCTTGAGCTAAAAAACCTGGCTTGTGAAAGTTTGGATCATAGTCCCCATACTGCAGAAAGGAAGACAAACAGGAAATATTTAATAGACAGTATATAATTAGATGCATCCTATGATTGAAAACTGATATGGAGACCTACCTTGGCTTGAACAGCATATGACGCCAAAAGAACAGAGGCTTCCGGAGAGCAAAATATCTCCTCATCTAGTATCTGCTTTTTGACCTTGGTAAAGAAACAGGAAGAGTTTTAATTTCAACTTTAGCAGACCTTTTCTCAATGAAAACAAGATCAATCATGGCAAAACCCAAAAAGAGGTTTCTGTAGAGCGGAAAAAGACCATCATGGACAGAAATCATGCCAGATTCACAAGAACAACTCCCACATACTTGTAAGAAGAAGAGGTGCTGAGTAATTTCCTGCACAAGCTCATCCTCGACTTTCTCAGGAAAGAATTTGGCGAGAAAATGAAATGTTATCGGAGAGTCCTTCGGAACTTCTTGATCCAAAACCTAGATGGATTTAAAAATCCAACAAACTTGTCAGAGCAATTCCTATATTACTATATAAAGCTTTCAGTACCAGCTCTGCACTGCTGTTACATCTCACCTGTTTATCAGGCTTCAGCCAGGCATAAGTGTCTTTCACTGTGTATCGAAGGCCAAAGAACCACGTTTCCCTCAAACCAATGGTCCGGCACACCAGGTCAAACAAATCTTTCCCTTTCCACTTGACCTATGAGACACAGATAAACATAAAAAGATGATAATACAGGCAGACAGGCCAGACAGAACACATCGTTTTGTATGTTCATGTATGTTTACCTCACAACTGAACTCCATTTCAGCATCCATGGTGCTGACTTTGACTTTAAAAGTCTTTGCTTGCTTCTTTTTTAGACCCAAAATCGACATTGTGACTTCTTAAGCACCTGAAAATAAAGAATTACTGTGAAAGTCAAGTATATTTTACAAATTTTAAAGTAAACATTTATTCATAAAAGCATTTGTGCAGCAGAGGAAATATAATCCAAAAATTAAAAATAAACAAAGGGAGAACAATTCATCGTTTTAAATAAATATTTATAAGATATATATTTTAAAATATGTAAAATAGTTAATTAAATACTTCACATTATCATAAGCGCAGCATGTAATCTATCTATGTGCTAACGTTACTTTCACAATTCACATGGCAGATGCATGGAGTCAGACGACCACAGGTAGGTCGCATACACGCTAATCATTATTTACATGCAAAGCTGTAGATTAAAGACTTCTATTCATTTTCAAGGAAAACATTATCAGTTTTCATCTTTTTTGAGTCGGAAAACATCACAGTCTGCCATGTTATAGCGAGCGAGCAGTAAGTAACGTTAACTGTTATGCGACTTAACAAAGGTTGAGAATCTTTTTTTTTAAACCCAACCTAAAACATTAAGCTAACGTATTTTCTCCGTTTGAAGCGGCGAAATGTCACATTAAACTGTAAAGGAAATATCTGCAAATATTTCTTGAAAGATTTAGGAATGAAACAAGCTAAATATCAATCAGTTACCGTGAATAGGTTATGTGTTGAAACAGGCCCGATCCACGGCGAGGAGTTTCCAGTCTCTCCGCTAAACCACAACAATGCAAACCGGATTTGGTTTGTTCCCCTACATGGAAATCACTATAAAGCAGTCGAAAAGTGTTTACAACTCTTTAAAAGCGTCCATTTTCTTATTAAACCACCAGCTGGGCGGTTGTGGAATATAAATCTGATGTTATCTTGGGTAGAATGTGTTGGATAGGGAGTTTGGAATACTTTGTTGTTGATTTTCTTTGCCGCCCTCTACTGGAAAGACGAAGAATAACAATTTATCAATTTATTATAAAAAAAGTATTTTTTTTAATAAAACAGTGATTTATGTGCACCCTTTCAATGAAATAACATTTTAATAAAAGACTAATGTTTAAGTACATTTTTAATGTAGTTTATATGTGACATGAGTTTCATATATTTGCATGTAGATGTGTATTTACAAATGCATACATGCATGATTTTATCCAAATGCAATCTGCAGTACATCTGTATGTGTACATATATCTTTTATATAAACTTCATATAAATGTATGGACCTGTATGGAGGTCATAAAAATATTCTGTAAGAAATTGCCCTAAATGACACCTGGATCTGTGTAATTTTTCATAAAGGAATGGCAAACAGCAGTTGGACCTTTTCTGACGTGAGAAATGTGATCCTGTCGGCCCATAAAAACACAGGGGCCCAAGATAAGGTTGGCTTCTATGATACCTGGGCTGAAAACTATGAGCAGGTAAACTTTAGGCACCAGTACTTTTCCCAGCACTTTTTCCAGTAAAACTATTTTCATCTGTAATTTGTTTTCTCAGGATGTAGCGCTGCTGGATTACCGTGCCCCCTTGTTGGCAGCTGAGTGTGTGAGCTCATTTTTCAGAGGTGACAGAGAGAAGGCCGCTGTCCTGGATGTGGCCTGTGGAACAGGCCTAGTCTCTGCGCATGTAAGCATTGCTTTATTTGAATTCTAGTGGGCACAAGACAACATGATAAACCTGGTAAAGCAAAGAGTGATATATTTTTTTTCTCGATCCCATTTGTTTGAGGAAAGCTGAAGAAAATGGGGTTTCGTCATTTTGTTGGAATAGATGGAAGTTTGAAGATGCTGGAGTTGGCAAAGAAAACTGGACTTTATCAGCAGCTTACGCAATGCCTGCTCGGTCAAGATGAAGTTCCTGTTAAATCTGGTAACCATGCTGTGGACTTTAATGCTTTTACTGTCAAAATGTAATCTGTATTTTCTTATCAGAAATGCCTGTTTGGATGTCATGTTGCAATTTCAGACTGTTGTAATAAAGATAACCGTTTAAGATAAACCAGATAAACCATATCTTTGTTGAAAAGAACTCGCTAGGTCAGTAGGACATTCTGCACATAAAGAATTCACATTTTGATTCACCCATGTTTTAGGTGTTACAACTAATAACCTGTATCATAAAACATGCCTTTTTTCTCCTTTGTCTCAGAAACACATGATATTGTTATAATTGTTGGAGCTCTAAGCGTTGGGCACGTGCCTTTAACAGTCATCAGAGAACTCTGGGATGCTACAAAACCAGGTAACTTGTAAATTTCACAGCTGCATCCGAAAGCTGAAAAATGCTGCCTCTGCAGGCCGTATACAGAGACAGGAAGGCAACAAGGCACATCTAAATACAATGATCCTATCACATTTCGCATGTATTCTTCACTGCCTGTGATATCCCACAATCCTATGTAAATGTACGTTTTTCAACAACTTTTTCCACTTTTGATGTCATTTCTAGCGAGAAATTCGTATTGTAGTAACTAAATATTTGCTTAGTTATCACAAAAGCTCTCCTTAATTAGTTGTAAATAATGAACTATTATGCTGTCTCAGAAGCCCATGCAAAATCAGTTTCCTGCACAAATCACTGCAGTCAGCTGCCTAAGCTTTCAGACAGCCCACAGTGTTACTATTCAACAACTTTGTGGTTTTATTAATGTGATGTCATTGTTGTACTTTTGGATGCATACAGAACATGTACATTTCAGATATTTTCCTAAACTCCATCATTCTCTATAACAGGTGGCTATGTGTGCATGACTACAAGAGGGAACCCTGATAACCGGGAGTACAAGGCTGAGCTGGAGCAAATGATCAGAGCACTTGAAGAAGAGCAGAAATGGAGCCGTGTGACTGTAGTTGAGGTGGAGGAGTGGGAGAAGGCCGTTTCAGAACAGGACAGCGGGTACATTCCAGGCGCAATTTATTTGTATCAGAAAGGTTTTAAATGCAGTCCATGATTTTAGGACCACACAAGGGAAACCCAATAACCAAATGTGCTCAGTAATCCATGCAGCTATTCTAAATAGTTCTTATTCCACCAGCAGGTGGTGGTATTTTTTCAGAAATTATATTATCACTTGTTTTGAAAATACTTGACAAGAGATAAGCTTAAACATGATCTATTTGTTTGTTTTGGCACCAAATTATTTCACCTGGCACTGGTACACAGTGCAGCCATTTGAAAAACTTTAAGGTTTTTGTTCAAGTAAGGTCCATGAACCTAAAGGATTTTGTGAGAAAATGTCTAAGGTGTGTGGTTACAAATCTACCATTCCCCAGTTACATCTAACCTTTCGTTTGCCACTCCTCGATACTCCGACCGCTAAACTTTTGAAACTGCTATTTCCGCTGGTGTCATATGACAAAAAATAAAGCACACAAACAGATTATGGAGTGTGTAGGCTACTATGAATAAGATTATTTAACAAGAAAATTTCCTGTTTAAAAGGTTGTTGTTGAAATCCAGTGTTAAAATTGCATTATACTGTATGTGATTAAATAAACATCAATACATAACAGCGACCATTAAAATACATTTGATTTTGTGTCAGTTAGATATATATATATATATATATAAGTAATGTGTAAGTAAAGTAACACATTCCAAAAGAACACAGTGTAGATATAAAATTTTATTAGTTTGTAATTCCTTTTATAAACATTCAGAACAGGCGGGTTCACAGTGTTCTGACTAAACAAATATTACAAGGGCATATGCAAAGGCATTCATGAAGTATTGACTATACTTCGTAACTTGTAACAGCTAATTCAATTAAAATTTCAAGCAAAATGGATAAACATTAAGATTTTTATTTTGGTTTTATCTCTACAGTTTAAGCTTCACTACAGCACATTCTTTTGAACTCTTTTTAAACACTCTGTGCCTCGACAAAATGCAAAGCGCTTTCATGAGGTGATACTTTCTGTTAAACCGGTTTGGCCTGGATCTGCCGTTTCATTCAGTGCTCGAGCTGACATACATGAAAGGGTAACAATGAAGAGAGTGTTCTTTTCCCTCCCTTGTAACATTTGAACCGAACAATTGTCCATCTCTGAAAGACCACCTGTTTGGCCAAGATCATAGCAGTGCTTTTATATGACAGTTTTCAACTAGAAATATGTTCATTCTAGTTTCCTAGCAGGAAAACAATATAATATTTGAATGAAACTGACAAATTTCCATATGTTTGTTGAGGAGGTGTCAGCTTTTTTTACGCTACAAAGGAGAACTATGCTAAGTACAGTGCATGACATGATGGAAAAAAAATTTTTCCGCTTACAAGCATGAACATACATTAAATGTACACACATTAAAGACATAAAATGTATGGAAACTATTAAAATGAACTATAAAACAGCATCATAATCATGACTGCTGAAGTCTGAGTGTAAGTTACAGTGCAAATCTTCATCTTGATCAGCTGCACTTCTTAAAGTGCCTCAAATTCTCTAAAAAAAATCAGAATGGACTAACTGAGATCATTATCAGTTTCACATAATAGTAAGGTTCAGCCACTAACATATTCTTCATTTTATCACACATTCTTCATATTCACAGTGCTATGGCAGATATATGACTGTCCAAGTGCATGTAAGTCCTTCAATCAACACAAATTTTGTTTGTGCAGTTTCTAGGTGTCTCCTTATTCAAATGTATGTATTGGGAGCATCTTCAGTCTCACTAGGTTCAGAAGCAGCCAGTGTCTGATTCAAACCATCATCAATCAGCTGGGACTTAGTCGACGCCCCCTCGTTCCGCTCAGACTCTGGGATCAATTCGGCTCTGGCAAGCTGAGACTTTGTAGTTGACGGCCTGCTCTGGTGGGAGCCCAGAGAAGGAGGTCTTCCCTGATTCAAAGGAGCTTTCTGACTCCACTGGGACCTCACAGATGGAGCGCCACTCTGCAGTGACCTCACAGAGACGGGCCGCATCCTCTGGGAGCCCGCTCTGCTGGACCCTGCCTGCGAAGAGCGCACGATCAGGTACTTCACTGAACGACCACTGTCGTCTTCTGTTTTGTCTTTGCAGATAGTGGTGCAGAGCATTCCTCCACCCAAAATGAGGACAATAGACGCACCCCAACCAACATAAATGGCACCACCAATCTCCCTTCGCTGCGAATCGGCCATCTGTGGGTTGTAAAACGCTCTCACCACAATGCCAGCCGACCAGGAGACGGGGATTAGGCAGAGAACTCCAGCGACAATCAACGTGACACCAGCTGCTGTGGCGATCCTGGCTTTGGATCTTTTGGATCGGTCCATGAAGATGGTGCACTTTCCTCCGATGAAGGCTAAAACAAGGCCCACCGCTCCCAAAAGGATCGCCATCACTGTGAGGGCCCGAGCCGCCTGCAGATCCGTGCCTAGCGCGAGCATGGACTCGTACGGTTTGCACTGCATTTGGCCTGTGCTTTGGATCACACAGCTCATCCAAATGCCCTCCCACATGATCTCTGAAGTTACAATGGTGGTTCCAATGAAGGCCGTCACGCGCCACATTGGCATGATGCAGGACAGGAGGGCTCCCACCCATCCCAGCAGGGCCAAGGCGCTCGCTAACATGTGCATGCCTAGAGAAGCCATCTCGCTGAGGTTCAGTTATCCACGTCCACAGCTACACTAAGGCCTCTTCTCGCCAGTTAAAGCCTTTTTGGAGGCCTTGTGGTGTTTCCTTCTTCACTCATTCCTGTCTGCAGCTCAGCTTTCACTCTGGTGACAGTGATGATGTGTTTATATGCTAAAAAGAGAGAGAATGACTGAGGAGGTGTGTGCAGTTAAACAGACCATGCCTCCATTAGTCCGCACGCTACCAGACTAACCAGATTCCTTCTTCTAGCCATGGACTATATGGGCGGGTCATGTAAAAAGAGATAGATGGGCTACTGTTTAGTTGGGAATTTGCATTAGACTTCTGAAAAGGGCTCAGGTGCATTTAGGTATCCAGATGCAGTTTCGATCTCACTATTTTGCTTTTCTGTTTGAGGTTTTAGAGATTTGTTTGAAGCTCTGACCACCAAGGCAGCCTCTATATCTGATGCCATAATCATTTTTATATGTTAAAAATGAAAATGAATGAAAATTCTGTCATCGTTTACTCACTCACTCACGTTTTAAACCTGTATGATGTTTCTGTGCAACATAATAAAATATATTTTGAAGAATGTTTATAGCCAAACACTTTTGACTTCACTAATGTCTCTCAAAATATCGTTATTAATTCTAAGAAAGAAATTCATAGAGGTTTGGAATGATATAAGGGCAAATAAATGATTACAGAATTTATTTTTGGGTGAACTATCCATTTTGAATGATTGATTGTGCTAATATACTGCCATTCATATATGATGCACATATAATGGAAGACAAGTGTGGTAACTAATTTAAAGCACTAAAAAGTAGGTTTATAAATTGTAAAAGTTAATGATTTGAATGCCAAACAGGATTGTTGTGACTGTGTTTACAGTCTTGCTACTCACCTGTTTGCTTACTATAGTTTCGAACGATTAAACATGATGAGTCACATAGCGTTTATTTGAAATATTTTCTTAGAGGTCTTAAAACAACACTGAAGAGAATGCTAAATTTGCTCATTACATTTAGATTTTGTTGTCATACCTAAGGGTTGAAACACTAGTTGTGAGTCAGTCATAGTGTGGAAAATACCTACCAGAAAAAAATAAGGTCAGTTTCTTCCTGATGCAATCTTAAGCATGTGGGAATATAAACACAGTCACAATGTTTGAGTGCAATAATAATTTTTATTAAGTATACATTGCTACATGTCATATGAATAATGGCTATAATATGAGGTGAAACTATGAAAATAACTATGAGAATCAGTTTAATGACAAGATTTTTCAAATTAGCAACAAAAGTATGCTATCAATGATTGGCTTACATTTTAATAATGAAATGAAAAATATGTATTATTACACTACTGTTAAAAAAAGTTTGGGGTCAGTAATTTTTTGTTAAAGAAGTTAATACCTTTATTTAGCAACAAACGCTTTAAATCAATCAAAAGTGACAGCAAAGACATTTATAATGTTGCAAAATAGGTCTATTTCCCAAAGAATCATGAATTTTATTTTCTATATTGCTAAAAAGTTATTAAAATAGAAAACAATATTTCACAACATTACAGCTTTTGATCAAATAAATGGAGGCTTGGTGAGCATAAGAGACTTCTTTTAAAAAAACACCCAACATACCGACCCCAAACTTTTGAACTCTGGTTTATATTATGTGAGCAATTACGTTGAATGAAAGACAAAACAAAAGTATTTTGAACACACAGTGCTATTTGTTGTCAAATTCAATATTATTTTTTGGGCTGAGACAAAACTCCTGGGGCAAGGAGGGTCTCAAGGATACAACAGTGATGGAAGCGACAAAACATTTCAGCAGCACTTTCAAAATACATACTTTGATTTGCACATTTCTTCAATGAGTATACCATGAAAACATTTTTAACATGTGTAATGCATTTCTATTTTGTGGCAATGCACATTCCAGTACTCCTCAAGAAATGCGTTTCATCTTAATTTCTTACTGTTGTGTAAATCAGTTCCTCTTCAGCTCACTACAATTTGTTAAATCAGTCCTACTTTTTATACATAAGCTTTGCTGCTTTCCACAGACCTGGCTTTTGAATACATGACATTATGGCGATCATCCTCACGTGGAGAGCACGAGCTGCAGAGGAGACCTCCACCCAGAAGAAGCAAACCTACAGAAGCCCAGCCAACGTGAAGCGATTCCCCAAGCTCTCTCTTCTGACCTTCCACCAACAAAGGGTTGTAGAAGTCCCTGATTATGGTATTCGCAGTCCAGCAGACAGGGATGAGGACAAAAAGTCCAGCAATGTTGAAGATGATGCCACTGGCGATAGCGACCTTCACTTTAGATGCCTCGTCTTCCACAAAGCTGGTGCACTTTCCTCCTACGATGCTCAGGATAATTCCAAACACCCCAGT